AGGGATTCAGGGAAGTAGAATGAATGGTAGCTATTAGCCTGGTGACTATGAACAGCTCCGTTGGACTGTCTGTGATATCCCTCTCTTGTACCTTGCATGGTTTTTGTGGCAGACTGGATGGACTCAGCAAAAGATTGTGTCATAGCAAAAGGGTCTGAAATGTATCCAAGCCAGCTCCAGTGAATCACCTCCTAGAAACTCCAGTGGAGTGATGAATCATTTCTGAAGTTTGGGAAACTGAAAGCCTGAATTGATACATAAGCATTTACTGGTCTCATTATTGGTGTCTGAAGTTGAGTCTTTATTATTAGCACCAGGAGCGTGCTCTTTGAGAGAATCTCCAGATCATTTCCATTTATTACATTGTGGTTAATGCCTTTGTGTCTCAGGGCACAGAAACTGAGTTTTGTTTGGATGACACTAATGAGGAAGATCCATCTAATCTGGAAAGTGGAAACTCATCTAATGAGTTCTTTAATATAAACACATCTAATGAATTTGTCCTCAGAGGCATTCAGTTCAGGACACCAGCCTAGAGACAGTCTGGAAAAACCTCCTAAATATACATAACAGACACCAAATGCTCATCAGCATTTCATGGTACAGCCCCATTCCTAATAGGCTGTGCTACGTGTTAACATACATACATATGCAACGCATACTAGTAGGGGTTAGGATACTGCCCTGTTTTCAAAACATTCCCCCAGGCATTCCTCATGAAAAGAACTCCAGAGCACCTAAAAGGTAAACACAGATGCTACAGTAAGATTTTGCTCTGCTGGGATCCCCTTTGTTTACTGCATAACTTAGTTTTCTTTTTCAGAGGCTCCACTGATGTAATCACATCTGAAAGCTCAGCACCTTAGTGCTAATTCTTTCCAGTTCTGACCAATCCAGAAATAAATACTTTAGGAGTTTTTGAACTTCTCTTTTTTTGCTTAAGAAATGTTATAGGAAATATAAAATCATTTTAGCATCCCCTAAAGTTCCCATGCCCCTTTCGTTTCTGAAGTGATCCCTACATTTAGCTGCAGTCTTGCTAAGGTAAAATGTGGCTTGTGCAACTTCCTTGCTCTGTGGGACGTTATTCTGCTCCTTTGATGACAGCCTTCAGTGTTTTTAGCACTATGCTATGACTTCAAATCTGCTTGTTGCAGGGGCAGCCTCCCATCTGCTTTGCTATTGGCACGCAAAGTCAACTTACTACAGAAACAAGGGCTGGGGATGTTGAAAAAGGAAAGGAGAGCTGAATGTTTCACTGCAATCCCCTTTTCATTAGGTGTGAGCTCATTTGCTGTGCAAGCAGCAAAGCTAGCTCTGCTCTCCACGTGTTTGCCCAGATCTGCCAACTTGGTAAGAAGCTGGTAGTTATAGAGCAATCACCGTTTCAATAAAGCTGATCGGGCACTCTGCCTCTGAGGAAAATAATAACTTTTTTCTTCCTTTATTTTTTCCTGAGAATCAAAATGTTTCTGCTGTTTGGCCTTGCAGGAAAAATAAAAATAGATTTCCCAGAAATTCAATCCTTTCAAGGAAGAAATTCATTGAATCTGAACCCAGCATTTTCCAGTTTTGATAGAGATGTTTGGGACTTATGAGAGAGAATGAAGTACCCAGGATTTTAATCATAAGTTCCAATAACACTGACTGTCATTGCTGTGTTTGTCCTAATAATGTCAAGGCAAAATGCAAGCTTTTAGGAGCAGGCATCGCAGTGTTCATTGTGGCAGATATTTTATTACATATATATTGCAGGAAATAGATTTAAAATGATGCAGTAAATAACAGCAAATGAATTAATAGATAGCTTTCCCATATGGCATGACAAGGTTTGATTCATTCAAAAATCTGAGCTATTACTTTCATAATAAGTATATATGCAGAATATATGATACATTCTCTAATATCACGTAAAGCATGTTATTTAATAATTACATATTTAATAATTGCATATTTAATGCATATTTAATCCAATTCTTTTATGGATTACAAGTATTTATTACAAGACTAAGAACTCCAGAGGCTATGGTGCTTTAGTTAGGAATTGACAGCTTCATCTCGATTTAGACTGTGATGGCTTTTTGTGCTTTTGGAATTGATATCTCTTCAAAGAAAGAAAGAGCCTTAAATGGTTTTGGGTTGGGTTTTTTTGTTCTCTCAGCTTGGAGCTGTTTTGAAACAAACTCAATTTTGAGCTGAGTGTGCTAAATTTTAAGACGTTAATAGAAACACTGCACAGTGATGGTGTAAAGCAGGTACCCACCGTGCATGGGACTGTGGTTTTGTTTCTGTCTGATCCCTTGAACATCAAAAGTTTCAGATTGTTGTGGAAGTTGCTTTGTAAAAGAGAGCTGGACGACTCAATTAAAATTGCAAAGGATAATGGCAACATACGATTACATCTCAGGAGCTGAACTTGAGCCTTTTTTCTTTCTCACTCTCATTTTGATCTACATGTATCGTTATCATCTGTACAGAGCTACATTTTTTTACAGAAATGCCTGATTTTTGATGCCTCTATTTCTTTTTATTTCTTTATTCAAGGCACTTTACATTTCAGAGAGTGAATCAGGCACTTGAAACACCCAGACTGGCTGCTCATATGTTTTCAGAGCCTTATTTTCTGTCTCTGGATACAAAATAAGTTGCCATGTTGGGTTTATTGGCAAGAAGAAAAAATTCATGAAGCTTTAACCTCACTTTTCTATTCTCTTTACAAGAATTTAGCATTGCTCTGATTTTGTGAAGAGCTTCAAAGATGTGGAAAATTCCAAAGAACTGCAACTCTGTGCCACAATTAAGAAACATGGATTTCTGCCTTGCAGAAATTTATGCTGTGGACTCTTTTCCATCGTGTGTCTGATGCAAAGACTTGTGCCTGTCTTGTGACCTACTGTTGGAGGACAAAAGGAAGAATGATGCCTTTAGAGCTGGAAGCAGTGAACACTTCCTTTCTTTCCTGCTCTGTGTGACTTTTTCAAAGGGCTTTGGATACAGATTGAAACTGGGCTAACTTGGATTACTGTTACTGCAGCGTCTGCCTAGAGAGCAGGCAGCACAGTTTCAGTTTTTCAAAGACTAAGTGCTTCAGCACAGCACTTTCCCCTCAAATTATCCCTGGTAAAACAAAGTTGTAAATTTATCCTTCTGCCAAGCTTATAAAGCTCATAGAGCTGCCGAAAACTATTGTGCTCTCATTCACTGAAAGGAAAATCACGAGCAAATATCCTGTGTTCATGACCTTCAAGTACTTGCAGATGAAAAAATCATAGAATCATAGAATAGTTAGGGTTGGAAAGGATCTTAAGATCATCCAGTTCCAACCCCCCTGCCATGGGCAGGGACACCTCACACTAAACCATGACACCCAAGGCTCTCTCCAACCTGGCCTTGAACACTGCCAGCGATGGAGCATTCACAACCTCCCTGGGCAACCCATTTCAGTGCCTCACTACCCTCACAGGAAAGAATTTCTTCCTTATATCCAATTTAAACTTCCCCTAGTTAAGTTTTAACCCTTTACCCCTTGTCCTATCACTACAGTCCCTAATGAAGAGTCCCTCCCCACCATCCCTATAGGCCCCCTTCAGATACTGGAAGGCTGCTATGAGGTCTCCACGCAGCCTTCTCTTCTCCAGGCTGAACAGCCCCAACTTCCTCAGCCAGTCTTCATACAGGAGGTGCTCCAGTCCCCTGATCATCCTCGTGGCCTCCTCTGGACTTGTTCCAACAGTTCCATGTCCTTTTTATGTTGAGGACACCAGAACTGCACACAATACTCCAGGTGAGGTCTCAAAACTCCGAATGAGGTCTCCAGGTGAGGTGGCGATTACACATTTTAATGCTGTTCACACCCATAGCTAAGATTTGAGGTATTTGTCTTTAATACCACTTTATCAATGACATTAATTGAAGCTGGTATAGAAAGTCTCCTCAGAAACACAAAATGATCAAGATTTTTGTAGGAATAGAAACATTCTCCATGACAAGTAGAGTAATACATGTCTTTTCTACCTATAAGTGGTTGTATTTGTTCTGTAATATTTGATACACCAATGCCCTTCTCAAAAGAAGTCACTAATCAGACTATCACAATGTGGGAACTGCAAGCCATCCTGTTCCCGCTATGTGGATAGTTAAAGAAGAATTGCTGATAGCACCTGGGTCTTGAGTAAGCCAGGGAGTATTTGGGTGCAAGTTTGGGCTGGGAAGCAGCCTTGGAAGTGGTTGTTTATAGAATGGAATTCATAGTGACTGAAAACAGTCACTGGGAATGATGTAGTTGCTGTTTGGCTTCATGGCTCAGACCCATATCTGTATGCTATATATTACCATGCGTGAATGAATGAAGTGGAACTAGTTGTGAAAGCTCTGTGTGTGTGTGTGTGTGTGTGTTTAGCCTCTTTCTTTACAGACACCACATCACAATAATTGCACAGTTATGTCCTAAAAGCACAAGTGGGGACATTGCCCGCGCTTCAGAGACCACTGAAGATTCAGTGCTTTGCCAATGAATAGCTTGTCAAACTGCAGCTAATGTCTTCTCATTAAAAATAAGTGTCTATACCCTTGCACCACATCAAATAAACCATGAAATATTAACTTCATGGTATATCCAGGTACTTCCTTTAAAAGCAAGGAAATAATAAACCCAAACAATGTTTTCTGGAGTAGGATCAATAGGACCCAGTCCTGAAAGAAGTGATGGGAATTTTCAGCCCAAATCTGTGGACTGAAAACAGTGTTGAAACAAAACCACAACCTGAACTCCTTGTTAAAAGCAGCTTTCTCCACTACACTGCTAAACCCTTTGCTACTGTAAATCTAAAGAACTTCCTTTTTCACTGCCTCCAGCAGGAATTAAAGACCTACCCTTTCAACTGCTCTTTACACTTGCAGAAAGTTACAAAGGAGGGCAAGTCATAGTCACTTCAGAAGTAATGAGTTGAGGTTATTTTTGCATTACATTGATGTAAGAAGGCTTGGATATTTTTGTACCACTATAGACCTAAACTTCTCTTAGTTCCAGTTCTTAAGTATGTTGGTTCCAGCATTAAAACAGCAGCTGGTAACTTATCCGCTTTCTCCATCAAGACCTGTACTGCAGTCCAGTGAATATGTTTGGATTATCTGGAGCAAGAAAATGGGGCTGGGAAAAGGTGTCACTTCAGAGGAGGAAAAGAAACTAAAAAGATTGGGGAAGAAGAAGAAAAGGGAAGAATCAGAGGAAACATGGAAAACGAGCATCAGAAAATCACAGATGACTGAAAAGTAAGCGTAAGTGAACTCATTTGGCTCCAAGAATTGATTTCCACCCAAGGGTAGGAAACTTGGATGGAATGCCAGTATCCAAAAAAACTGTGTCCAAATTTCAGGAATGTTGGGCAAAATGGGGTTTTGGAATCACCTAAAAAAGAAATAAAAAATGCATTTTTTCCATTATTATTACTACAGTTAGCCTTCTATTTGGTACATAAAAATAATGGTTATTTCATGTCCAGTACTCAGAAATGACTGTATTTTTTACTAGCAAAATACCAGACAAGGTGATATGAGTTCTAATTTTCAACTAGTAAGAGAATTACAAGATCTGAAGACAAAATGAGAAGATTGAGAATCCCGAGAAAAGGAAATTCTGTACAGAATTTTAATGATTAGAAAGCAGTCTGATGTATTCGTTCTGTGGTGCCATATTCAACACAAATCTAGCATAAGTAGTTACTTACCACATTCATATGTTACCATTAACAAATCTGGGGACAAGAGATTTGAATTATTCAAGTAAAAATTGTATAAATAGACACTTTAAGACATTGTTTTTTCATCTCTTTCTCTAGAGGTAACAATTCTATTTTATTCTACTCTTAAATAAATGTTCAGTAGGAAAAGGAAAGAAACTATCTTTCAGAATAATCAGTGAAGTCAACCTAATGGAAGGAAAAGGAAGAGTTTATTGCTTACACCGGAATTTTCCAGTGTGCTTTGTTAAATGCACTCTGAAAGATTTTAAAGCATTTTAGCTAGTGTGTGTCTTTGCAATTTTAAAGTGCCAGCCTGGTGAAAGAACCTCTAACTTAACTCCAGTAAGTACCTACTGCTTTCTTGTACCCATTTCCAATGAAGTTAAATGCTCCCTCTAGAACAAATCAGAGCACAGAACATGTCAAGACTTCCACTAAAAGCCTTGGAAACCTTAACAGAAAGCCTGTTGTATTAGAGGGCTGTGTTGCTAACAAAGATGCTCTGTTCTTTTTTGTTCACAGACTAAAGATTCAGAGTAATATTAGGTTGTTTCCTAAAACCCACAATACGTAGCTAGTCATTATTACTCCTGCTGTACAACACTGATTATGATAAATACACAGAACTTATTTCAATGGGTATGGAAGTTTGTAGGAATCCCACAGTTTCATTTACCTCAAATGCATATCCTTTTCAAAACCATGTGATTTGTGGTTGAATCTACAATAGGATCCTTTTGTGGGTACTTGCACAGCAGAAAGAGATCCTCCTGCCAGTAATAGTTCTGCAGTTCAATATTTACACACAGCAGTATTGGTATAATGTAATGTTAACAGCTTGCTTTCTACCATCAAACAGTATAAAAACTTATTCTTTAAAACTAGTGGATTAAAATCTGTCTGCAATTGTAGAAAGTAAAAGAGGTATGAACTGATCATTACAAATCAATGCAAAAAATTTCATCATATGTTTTCGAAGTCAAATACTATTTAATATTTGCCTTTGGCTGTCACAGGGAAAAGTTCCCAGCAAGATAATTTCTTATTGTGTCGTCTAAGAGGAGACACAGTTGCCTCATAAATGAAAGCTAAATATTGCTTAAGTACATAGAGTGGCCAGCATCCACATTGCTGTAGCTTGGGATGGCACCAAGCTTGCTGGAGCTAATTTAAATCATCTGCTTATCACTTAGAATCATAGAATCACAGAATGGTTTGGGTTGGAAGGGACCTTAAAGCTCATCCAGTTCCAACCCCCTGCCATGAGAGGGTAATCTTCCACTATAACCATAGGATTATTACATAAATGGTGGATACTTTCCCTGGTAGTCAACGTTAATGGCTGTTGATCAAACTTGCTTGGAACACAGGCTGCTTTATGTCGTAAGCTGGGCTTCAGCCACTGTGTTTAACCAATTATCAATCTTTACTTTGAGGACCTGCAGCGAGACGTGCAATATTAGCAGTAACACACATGTACATGCCCAATTCGCTCCTTAGCCTGCAGAGCTGATGATTTTTTAAGTATAGATGACATAGATGAGAAAGTAAGTGAAGGACAGTACTGCGACTGTCATAGTACAGCTTAGGTGAAAAGAAGCTTTCTCAGCCTACCTTGCAGAAAACAGTGAAGTTAGGAATACATTTTCTAGGCATCTAAAAGGTAACAGTCCTTGACACTTGCCCTATCCTTCCTCTTCCTGACTACTAGCAAAATGTACTTTTTACTATAGATTGGAAAAGATACAAATTAAACCTCGTATCTTCATTTGGCAGAAATCTATATCATGTTAGGCCAGACAGCAATAACTTCTTTATTTAAATAAGCACAGAAATTATGACTAAGTGTGATGAAGCATGAATTCCAGGGTTCAAGTTGGGAAACAAAGTTTTGTCACCGTGATCACAAGTACATGAAGTGTTCAAATCTAATTTAACTCTGCCTTCAGTGCTATTCATGGGAGCTGGTCTTAAATCAGGATGTTTCTGCTCTCCTCTGACCTGTGTTATGTGTCCGACAAAGCATCATTCATGTGTCCTGATTAGCCATGGAATTAGAGCGCTGCTTCTACTTCTGCAGCTATTGACTGGACCGCTCAGCAACCAGTACGGTAAGACGTTGATGTGAGGATAAAGTAAATTGCTCCTTTTGCTGCAACGTGGGTGAATACATCCAATTTCACAACATCAAGGAATTTAAAGAGGAAGGAAGTCCCTGGTGCTGTTTCCTAGTCCCAGGTTTAGAAATTTCTTTTGCAGTAGCTCACAGCTACAATTTAGAAAATGGTTTCATTTTCTTCCAGCAGAAAAACCTGTTTCTCCTCCTACCTATAACTGACATGATTGGTGGCTGAGGTAGTCCACAAAACAGCAATAAAACGAGATTCCTGCTGGGAAACCCCTGGCACATTGTTCTTGAAGCTCTCTGGTACCACTGCAGTGAACACAGCCACCAGAACACACTGTTCGTACGGTGCTGGGAATGCAGATCCCTATGCACTCAAGTGTGCCACTACAGAATCCAATTCCTAAGGCTATGCAACACATGGCATGCTTAAAGCGGACTCTAGTCTGAATCCATATTAATAAACTCTCTCGTCCAATTTTGCTGCTCCCAGGGCTATTTCTAATAGGATTGGGTTAGAACAAAATCATGCTGAGTAGCTTCAATATTCTGCCTTATTACACAAAATCCAGATGAAATGGCTAGTAGTTTCAAAAAATCCATGTGAAACATGAACAAATGGTCCATTAGTGTTCCTGAGTACTAAACCATTAGGCCATATTTGAACTTGAGTGTTTGCTTTGCAACTTCTGTCCAATACAAGTGGTCGTTTTGTTTTGCACTGCTCATGTTGTTTGTGCTTGTTCTTCCATTTACCTCGTATATTTGATTGTCCCACTTCGTTATGTTCCCTTTTGGGTCAAGAGTAATTTGAAATGTGGCAAGTGGTGGCAAGTTTCTACTACATTGACAAGCAAAAGAAAAGGAGAAAAGTAATTACACAACACTGAATGCAATAAGGCCATTCTTGGCATGAAGTGTTACTTAGGATTATAGATAGTAGATGCCTGCTTTAAGTCATAGTCACCTATTAAATACTAAACAAGAATACTAATTATCGTAAATTTAGGCTTGAATTTATCACAGGTTTATTATGGGAACATGAATACTTTCACAACTGTAACCCCACAACAATATACGCAGTATATTAAGTACTAAAGCTAACACTGTTGCACATCAATTGGCTCTTAGATAATACATATTGACTTGTTATATACATGAATTTAATTATTTAGACTTAACCAAAGTTTGCTGAGCTGCTGATTATAGAAGTAACAGTGTAGTTCTGGACCACAAGATGGCTCTAAGCACATACATTCAAGCCTAATAAATTTTCAGGCTCTATACTTGACATAATTTCATTAAATGGCAACTACTGAAATATGCTGATACAGTGATGTTTCAAAGAACTCTTTAAGTAGACACAATCATGAGCCAGTTGTAGGCACTTGTATAGTAACAAAACACAGACATTAACAATTTGCTATTATAAAAGTTTAAATATGATATCTAAGACAATTAAAATGTGCTTGATTACATCACGCTGATTGAGGTTTGTAATTCCTTTGAGTTTTGTTCTCTGACATTACTTTTGTCCATTTGAGTACCAATAGTTACTTAGGAAAGAAACCATCAGCAGTATATATGGAACAGCAGACAAATCCACTGATGATGGGAAATTCCCAGATGCTGAATGCATCTGTGTAGACATGTACACAATAAGTAAAACGTTCTCAGTCTTTAGCAAAATACTCCACCTCTTTGGAGTTACTTAAATGCTAAATCTACTACAGCCAAGAGCTGTGCGCTGCATCTGGGTGTGCAATATGGATCAAACTCTCCAGTAAGACCGACAGTGTTATTTATGCTATGATCAGGACACTTCTTTCCCTAGTCAATCCTTGTGAAGTTGTTGAAGGTTAGGACTAGAACAAAGTCTGTCTTTTCATTGACATGTACTGATGTCGGAAACCTTGGCACCTGAAAATATTTGTCCTATGAAGACAAATAGAGGCAAAGATTGCTGCTATATCTGGGAAACAGGTTTTGTTGGTGCACATTAAATTTTGACATGTCATACAAGATTAACTTTGCAGAATTAGAAAGCTAACCTGTAATAGACTAATAGTGTGTAATAGGCAAGATCGCCTCGATTGAACTAGTCTGTGCTGGCAGTGCTCCATGACTCCAAGTCTAACCAATTCAGAAAGCTAAAATACTTGACTGACATAAACTGGCAAAAGACAGCTTAAAGTTCAAGCTCTTGGCTGCTGCTGCCCTAGAAGAGAGCTCTGCCTGTACTTCAGTCTTGATTGCTCCATACGTCAATCACAGCGCAAAGCAGTTACATCAGGGTAACTTTGTGAGTATGCATAGGGAATCTGGGTATGTGGGATGCAGAAGAGGAAGAGAAAATGAGGGATTTTCCCCATGGTGAGCTAGATTTAATTAGTCAAGCAGACATGAAGAAGAATAAGAGAAGCAGTAAAAGGTAAAAGAAAAAAATACTGACAGAAATACAGAAGATATAAGAGCTAGAATAGCCTTCCATTTCTATCTTTGAAGGCATAAGTGGCTTTTTAAAATATATTTTAATCTTTGAAGAAGAAAAATGTACTCAACTGTCATACCAGCTTTGATTTTAATGATTGTTTTCCCAGTTATTTTTGCTTAGTCATAGAATCATGGAAAGGTTTGGGTTGGAAGGGACCTTAATACCATCCAGTTCCAACCCCCTGCCATGGGCAGGGACACCTTCCACTAGAGGAGGTTGCTCCAAGTCCTGTCCAACCTGGCCTTGAACACTGCCAGGGATGGGCAGCCACAGCTTCTCTGGTTGGCTACAGATCTAATGAATGGGAAATCTTGTTCATGCAGACATGACTTACTGTATGATCTGAATGGATGGGAACCCATGTCTGGTTTACGTCCTGTGACAAATCTGAGTGTAAATCACTCCAGAAATTAAAGTTGGCTTCTAAGCTGAACCTGATTTTCCATCAGAAATATGACAATATTGCCAAGCTTAGTCAACATCACTTGAATAATTCTTAAAACTTACAAAATTATTACACTTACAAAAAAAAAATACAAAATATATCTGTTAGGATGAGACCTTTGCCTCCTTTTAGGGCTCATTCGAAACTCCCTACATGGATTTACAAAGAATCAGTGCTTTGCCTTATGAAAAACCTGTTTCACTTTGAGGTAGAACTAAATCTGAGCTATATAGTAAATCCTATTTAATATTTGCACAAGATATTATTATATGTTGGATGCACAATTCTTACTTTCTGAAAGAGGGAAACAGTAGCAGGGTCATTGTAAAGAAATATAAACCCAGGTTTTCTGCTCTCAGATACTCCTTTTTATGTACAAGGTAATAATAACCAGTGATTTTATGGATCATAGAATCATAGAATAGTTAGGGTTGGAAAGGACCTTAAGATCATCCAGTTCCACCCCCCTACTATGGGCAGGGACACCTCACACTAAACGATGGCCCCCAAGGCTTCGTCCAACCTGGTCTTGAGCACTGACAGGGGTGGAGCATTCACAGCCTCCCTGAGCAACCCATTCCAGTGCCTCACCACCCTCACAGGAAAGAATTTCCTCCTTATATCCAATCTAAACTTCCCCTGTTTAAGTTTGAACCCGTTACCCCTTGTCCTATCACTACAGTCCCTAATGAAGAGTCCCTCCCCAGCATCCTTATAGGCCCCCTTCAGATACTGGAAGGCTGCTATGAATAGAGCAGTGGGGCATTAAATTAAGAAAAATCTTCAGTAAAGTTATAAAGGGTAAGAGCGAGAGTATTTGGTCCATACACAGAATACTTTTTCAAGTATTCTAGAGAAATTGTATAATATCTTAAAATTTTAGGTTTGGCTTTCTCTTCTGGGGAATCATTTAGATTCCAATGAATCCTGTTTTCATTAGTAATAACAGCAATTACTGGTAATAACTGTAATTTGGTAATATAGCAAAATAATGGCCATTTCTCACTGCTAAACAATATGGGTTTGAAGTATTTGTGTACTACAATGATTATAAACCTATCACATAATCATTCTCTGTGCATTCTGTAGATGTGGTTTTTACCATAGAAATTAAACCCCCAAAATATAGACTAGTTGTTTATGGAATGAGCTCTAGTAGTTAAGAAATGACTTATGCAGATTTAAGAGTTTCCCATGAGGTAGAATCATAGAATCATAGAACAGTTAGGGTTGGAAAGGACCTTAAGATCATTCAGTTCCAATCCCCCTGCCATGGGCAGGGACACCTCACACTAAACCATATTGACCAAGGCCTTGTCCAACCTGGTCTTGAACACTGACAGGGGTGGAGCATTCACAGCCTCCCTGGGCAACCCATTCCAGTGCCTCACCACCCTCACAGGAAAGAATTTCCTCCTTATATCCAACCTAAACTTCCCCTGTTTAAGTTTTAACCCATTACCCCTTGTCCTATCACTACAGTCTCTAATGAAGAGTCCCTCCCCAGCATCCCTATAGCCCCCCTTCAGATACTGGAAGGCTGCTCTGAGGTCTCCACGCAGCCTTCTCTTCTCCAGGCTGAACAGCCCCAACTTCCTCAGCCTGTCTTCATACAGGAGGTGCTCCAGTCCCCTGATCATCCTCGTGGCCTCCTCTGGACTTGTTCCAACAGTTCCATGTCCTTTTTATGTTGAGGACACCAGAACTGCACACAATGCTCCAGGTGAGGTCTCACAAGAGCAGAGTAGAGGGGCAGGATCACCTCCTTCGACCTGCTTATCAAGCTGCTTTTGATGCAGCCCAGGATATGTTTGGCTTTCTGGGTACTCGTACATATACATAGAGATTTTCTCAGAAATGTATTATGGGCTTATATGTGTTCCAGATTTCTTAGTCTCTTCATTCCTTAACATTTTGGTTTAGGTTAAGTAGCCTAAAAGTGAATGACAGGCAGGGGAGGGCTATGGAACTACAACTTTTTGGAGAAAGAAAAAAACTGTGGCTTTTGTTCACTGACTTATATGAACCAGTTGCACCAGTTCACCTTAATGGAATAGTTTCTCATGGTTAATAATGTCACCTCAGAATCAATGAGACTGACTTGAGCAGCTGCCTCAATCTATACAAAGCCTTCTGGTTTTCATTAGACATTCAGGCGCACAAAGGGGCCTGTCTGCACAGGATGAAGTCCTCAGGTTGTGCTTGTGTCCTTGGGTTGCCTGCGGCCATCAGTCTCACTTCCTCAGCAGGAATACAGCATCACTCTAACTCACAGGGACACCACTTTAAGTACATTAGTTGAGTAGCATGGGGACACTGATACTGTCATTTCCCATTTGCTACCTCGTTCGGGGAAAAGGGCTGACTGTACACATATGCCACTTAAAGCCATGTGTAAGGTATACTCAGAGTGCAGCTCAATCAACTTCCACTGCATTCTGCTAACCCAGAGTTAGAAAGTCTGAGAACCTTTACTTGAGAAAGGGGCTGGTTTTACTGTGCAGATGGAACCCAAGCTTGCGTGCGCTGACCCCTACAATGAAAACTTCAACCTCTCAACAGCTCCTAGGTTGAGAGGAACCACAAAATTCATCTTTTGAGAAAAGAAAAAGAAAAAGAAAAAAGAAGAAGTGACACAATTTAAAATAAAAAGGATATTCCATTTTGAGATATTTTCAATGAGCGGGTACACTTAGGGGGATCTAAGTGCCTCTTCCATTTGAAATGTATTTTAATATCTCATATTGATGTGATTTTGTAAAAAATACACCAAAGTATTTCTGTTCATAGATTAGACACTAATTGAAAGTAAAAAAAAACCCTGTACTTTGCCTCAAAAAATTTAAAACCAGAGAGAACATGACCACTATTTCAAGTGATCCAAGAATGAACAATGATAAAGTCCCAATACTAAACACCCTTTGTTTTCTATCAATGATAATAACAGCCTGTTTTGTGAAATTCAGTTTGAACTTCTTGAGTGAGCACGATGATAGGAGTTTTTCAGGATAATTTTGCTATGTCTCACTTTGGACATCTATGACGAATTTTGACATCCTGACCCAGCAGAAAGATCCCTGTTGGCTTTGATGGTGGTTAAATATGACTCGATCTTCTACTTTTCTGCAGTGATATGAAAAACAGAGGTCGTTTATGAGTATTCATCTGAATTCTGAAATAACTGAACAACTGCTATTGCTTCCCCTCCTGAAACCTGTGAATTCTCCAGCTAAGGTTGCATTCCTTAGGACCAAAGTGTTTTTCCTTCAACTTTTGAAACACTGCTGGTGACTCTTCACCTGTGCAGCCTGAGAATGCTTGATTTATGAATATTTATGGGTAAAACATTAAAAATCACATAGATGGAGATGGTGGAGTTGTCTAACAAACATTTTGGGCAGGACCTGTGATTTTTCTGTGGCTGACCAGCGCATGTAGTTACATAAGACTAAAAAAGTTAGACTTTCGTGTAACCTTTTTAAGAATCCTTTATATGGAATAAAAGCCATCATAAGCCCATGAAACTCTATGGACTTTAGAAATTCTATAGCTACAAGATCTAAGAATTGGCCATACAATGTTATTTCTAGGAAGGGGTTTTGCCCTTAAGATCATAAAGAGTTACAAACTCCTAGGAAACAGAAAAAAAGCAGCTTCTGCAGTTTCAATTGTTACTATCATTTAGTTTTTTACCATGTGTCTTTGGCTGCAAGTTTGTTATTTTCCACAGCTTTCTGGTAGGATAAAGTTTATGTGCTTTAATGGAAAAATCAGCCTTTTTAAACTCAGTTTACCTGAGCTGCAAGAACTTGCCCCAGGGCAGGTAAGAAGCACACATACATCCTGCTGCATTGGCAAAGAGCTGTAACCTCCAGAAAAGCCCTACCAGCTGTGCAGCTGTTTCTGCCTGTCAACATCTCTTTGTGGACTGAAAGTAGGTTGCAGGTGCCTCAAATAGAGACTAATCCTTGCGAGAGGAAAATACCGAGAGCACTAGAAGTCAACCTAAAAGGCGTGATAGTTGCCTCCATCCCAGTGGGATCAGTTCTTTCTCCTTTGCAGTCACACCTAAGAAAATTGATAGCATCAAGAGCACCTGCTCTGCCTGTACAACTACAGGGATGGAAGGAATAAGAAATGGGGTTGTTCCCAGGGTCGTTGTGGTTTGCTCTGAGCATCTGCTGCAGCACAGTGACTCCGCATGGCTCCTGCGGCAGGGTTGTAGCTTAATGCCACAATGCAGCTTGAAATCTGTTCCTCGCCAATTACCCCTATAACTCACAATGGGTTTGAAAGTCAAAGCAAGTTTTGCTCAGCAGCCAGCTGCAAGCTGGGTCGAGTTTTGATAAAAATCAATTTGAAGCATTTATGCTTCATAAATCACCATTGGCTGATATATTCTGGAGAATCAGAGCAGTGCAAGCAGAGAGCTGCAGCAGGACAGATTTTGTTTAGTTTTAAATTTATAACTAGCTTAGTTTCTTAGCTCTGCTGATAACAGTTGAATGATTCCAAACACTAATACAAACTGAGGAAATCCCCTCTTCTGCAGCACCACAATAGCAAAGGTACTGTAGCAAAGCCAGAGGCTCAAGGATCCACAGGCTAAGACAACATAATTGAAGAGATATATATGATTTCAGGACAAAAAAGTAAAGGAGAAAGATGTGTTGAGTGGTAACTGTTTCCTTTAAGCACTGTATACATGGCATCTAGATGCTCAAGCAGAGCAGACATAGTTTACCCACTTCTGTCATCTGCCTCCTCCACAGTTTGTGTGGAACTGATAATGGCAGCACAAACTGTCAGCATTATCCAACAGTCCTGAAGGTCCTCGTTTCATGACTGGCTTGATTCATACAAATTATGAGGCTTTTTCTGTAAGGAAGGACTATTCATGAAGACAAAGGTTTTTCTTGTGTGCCTTTATCAACAATGTAGACACACGTTCAGCCATAGGGTCACAAACTAGAGGAAGCACAAATATTTGACCATAGAAGACAAACCAACTGAGTGTCCTACAAGGAAAGGGACATGTCCTTTACCACCACCAGCTTAATGTGGAGACTTCACGATTTAGCTTTGCTTCCTGAAATAGAATCACATTTTTTTTTTAATCCAGAATATAAATAGTTTAGATCAAGCTCTGTCCTAAAAATTGGTGAAATAAGGCATACAAGGAAGAAAGATCTCACTAACAATTTAAGTGCTTTCTCCCCAATGCCAGTTATAGACTTGTGCGCTCTGGGCTTCAGTCACCTTCCTTGCAACAAATCTAGCACTGGTGTAGTTACCTATAGGTGAAGTTAGTATATAAGTTTCTGCCTCTTCTTCCACGAACAATGGTGAATAAAAGATTTACTCCGTGGTGGCTAATTCAGAGTTCAAAGCTTCCATTTGATGCAAAGTGCATATACTAAGCAGATAGGTTTAATAAAGCGTCTCTGGCATTAATTCTCTAGCAATTATCATGTAGTAAAGTGAAATTGGATCCCTCCTGCAATAGTGGTGGCTTTGTAACTATGTGCAGTATTAATAGCTAGGAACACTTTCCTGAAGGACATGCTTTCAAAGGCCGCAAGAAAGCAGATAATTAAATACATTTAACTGTGAATTAGTTTGCTGCATTTCATGGCTTAAGGCTGAAGCTCTCTTACAATAAAGATGCTCAGGATTCAATCCCTCCATGCAGAGAAGAAGTTTAATGAACTCTGCTAAAGCAATACAAGGATTAGGGCTGCTCAGAGCTTGCCACTGCAGGAGCGAAGCAAGGCTAAGGTTTTGCTGCCTTTCTCCCATGCCAGCAATTTACAGCCCCACATAGCTACCTCCTCTGCACTGGGAATGAACAGACACTGAACTAACCACACGTTTAGGCTATAATATCCCATAATAGGTAGAATGTGACCGAGTGAAGCAGGAGTGTCAAGCGGATTTATTTGCATTAGCAGTAAGCTTCAAGTGGCACGAATGTCTAAACGGGTGGGTAGCCTGTTACACACATGCTGCAGAAAGTACCCAAACATTCCAAGTCCTTCACACGAAGATTAAATATGCCCACCTCGGTGTCAGCACGGGTGGCCTGTAATTGCCCATTGCTCAACCAGCCAGCTCTTTATGAACAGCTAATGCCAGCTGTGCCTATGGTGGTCCTGCCTCTTCCCGACACCGCCGATATATTTTAGCTCCATCTTTTCGGGAGCGAAGCGATAAACACCGAGACGCCAGCCCGGCTCCTCACCGGAGCTGTACTGTACCCACGAGGTCTGGACGGCCATCCCTTCCCACTGATGGGCAATGGGCTCGTTTCTTTGCAGCGGAGGGCAGGGATCGATGCATTAAATAGGCCATGAAAAAGCGCTTTTTCAGGCGGGGGCACCAGCCCAGGCTCCCCGCTCCAGAGGGCTGCCCGGGTCGGCGGGACCCAGGCGGAGCGCCGCATGGATGCCCCGGGGAGCGGGGGGGGCCGGGCGGCAGCGGCTCGACAGCGCGGCAGGGGCGGGGAGAGGAGGGAAGGAGGGGAAAGGAAAGGAAATCCCCAGGATCCCCCGTCCCCCGCGCGGGGAGACACCGCGTTACTCACCGGGACCCTCCCCCGTGCCGCGGCCGCGTCAGCCCGGCGGCCGCGCCGCCTCCGTGAGGCTGAAGAGGGATGGGGGGGCCCGGGCTGCTTCTCCCGGGGCTCCGCACGGCTCCGGGCGGCGGGGCGGGCTGCGGACGGGCGGCGTGAAGCGGCTGGAGCGGCCCCGCGTGCCCCGGCCCCGAGCGGGGAATGAGAGGCGGCCCCGCGGGGCTGCCCGCCGGGACGCACCATGCGGGAGCTGGCGATCGAGATCGGCATTCGTGCCCTGCTCTTCGGGGTCTTCGTGTGAGTACCAGCGGGGACATGGGGTGGAGGGAGCGGCGGCTCCAGCCGGAGCGGTACCAGCGGGAGCCTCCGAGGATGCCTCAACTTTAGGCACCCGACTCCTTCCTCGCACCCGGTCGCGGTGTCGGATCGCCGGGCCGGGGAAGTGCGGGTGGGGACGGGGGGGTTGGCCGGTCCCCGGCGGTAATGGCCCCGTATCCCTAACGGAGAGACCCCTCCGGCAGCGGCCCCTTCGGGTGCTACGGCGGGTAGAGATGACGCCTTTCGGGTGCGGGAATCTTTTCCCTGGGGAATCATTGTGGGAGCAGCGGGAAGCACTCCCCGACCTTAGATTTTGCAGGAGACTTGAGGGCAATTTTTGTCGGAGAAACCGCTGTTTGTGGGAGAAGTGTGCAAAAAGCATCCAACCGAAAGGGCACGCCAAGCCTGCTGCTTGGTTTCGTTTGGACCGGGGTAGTTTTGTGCTGTACGGTCTCATTTGCTAAGGCTGTTGGTGCTCCTCGGCAGCGGGAGCCCGCAGTGAGCCGGGGCAGGCACCCTTTGTGCGGGAGAACCTCCGTGCTGCGAGCCGGGGAAGTATCTGGGACTGAACGGGAGATGCGGAGGATCTCCGCTGGGTTTGAGAAGCAGATCCGTACCCTGGTACGTAGGAAAGAAAGTCAAGGGAATCTGGTTGCTGAAAGACGAGCTGCGCGAACACTTTCTGTTTGCCTTTTTTAGGAGAAAGCAGCTATGTATTGTTTTGCTGTGTGTATTTCAGGCAGGCTTCCTCTTTCTTTTCAGGGCTGTACCTGCTTCTTCTTTCTGGCACTTTATGTTTGAACAATGAGAAGTTCCACTCTTCCTATAAGTTTGTATTTCAGCTACTAATGCTTGAGTAATCTCAGTCTTTGTGATCCCTCAGACGTATTGCAGAAACCAGATCAGGTTCTGCTCCCGTTTGGTTGCTCGCCGATAGATGCTGTCGGTCGCAGGTGCAGGCAGTAATAGTATGGGGCATCCATTAGCTGTGACACTGACTTACCGCAGGTGATATTGGAATGCTTTGGTGCGATTCCTTTCTGAATCTCTCATGGTTATTAAGTTGCCCAATTTACTGGTGTTTGAGTTTTTCCTCAGTGTTCATCTCACTTGAATATTGATGGAAGTCTGTTGATTTGTAACATATTTGGTAAGTGTAACCCGCTTCATTTTGGGATAAACTTCGATACCCTCAACAACCTGTAAGGTACATTTCATACCTTTCAGTTCAGTTGCATCTTACTTTGGAAACAGACCTGTTCCTCTCAACAGAACTCTTTTTTTGAATATGTGAAATTACAGGGTGAGCAAAGACCTCAGAATCTGATGCTGCATCAGAACCTTGCTCTTTATGATAAACTCATGTATAATTCATCACTTACACCATCTAGTAAGAGGGGTCTTCATGTGGATTATTACCATGATATGTAAATAATGACCCTTTATAAGCAGTAAGTTGTTGGTTATGCTTATGTCTTAATTTTCTCTCCAAATAGTTCTGTAATTATCACTGTTCTGCGTGCTGTGGTTCTAAAACCAACAGGGAAGAAAAGCTTTTGGTAGAGTAACCATGATGGCAAATGCCTCTGCAAGCACTTTTCATGTTTTCACATAACTCAGCTCCTGCCTTTTGGAATTCTGGGGGATAATTGTGACATTGCAATAAGTCATTTAAAGAATTAATTGCCATCTAAAAGTACTGAACACTGTAGTATTCTAAATTCAGGTTGGGATTTAGTTTCAGGAAGAATTGCACTTCATTTGCCTGTAATGGTTGCAAGAATATAATCTCTAGGTAGGCTTAAAGAATAGCTTTTATATTCAGATAATCTTAACATCAATCTTTTTGCCATTGAAATAGTATTCAACATTTCTCTCAGTTTTTCTAAAGAGGCAGTAACTCATGTTTTGAAACTTATGTTAGAGGTTTAAATACTGTCTTTTGTGTGGTTTTATAGGCACCCAGGGCAAGGATTTCTATGGAGTGTTAATTGAAATATCTTTTCAATAATGAACAATTGCTGTTGAATTTGGAAGCCCTGGGACTGAAATCCAGGCAGCAGCAATGTAAGCTCTATAGCTCTATTACAGAGCCTATTTCTAGGAGTGAAAAGGCTGTGAAGTTTCCACCTCCCTTGAAAAGGAATGTTATTAACAGCAATGAGTTGGGGCTAGGTCTAAGATCATCTCTGTTGTGAATGCCAGCTGAGAGGTAGGTGTTTGTTCACCAGGAGCTGGACTGAAAAGGTGGTGTTGACTTTGGGTCACTACTAACCTTTGTAGTGTTAAAAGTCTGACCTTGAAGATAATGGATCCAGAGGTATTTGCCAGTCCTCAACCATCTGTGCCTCCCAGACGTCTTTTTAGCTTTGACCTACTGATTAATACAACTCAGAATAATATACTGGCATATTTTGTACCCTAAAATGCAAAAGTAAAAAGGGTGCATATTCCATGTTGTAGTTTTGCTTGGTGCTGAATGCCATTTCATAAAAATGGAGGTGTGATGACGGCTGAAATTAAAGGTATTGCCACTTTGAATGTATTTTACCTCAACAACAGCCATATTGTTTATACTTAAGAATGGCAACCTTTTGTTTTCCTATAATTATCTTTGCTATAATTAGTTGCTATAATTACCAATTTTAGTCATTCCACCAAAAGCAAAAATCTACAATTATTATTTAAGATCTTTTCTATCATGCAAACGTACACCATTATAAGTAACACACATTTTGGATGGTTGATCGTTGGTTTGGATGAATTCAACGGACATTCAGGGAGGATAAAGATAACAACTGACTCTAGATGTTCTAGATGATGTGTTCTTAAGAACTGCTAAATGTTTACTTCCCAATTAAAAACCAGTTTAGCTATTCAACAACTCAAGCTTCTGTGCATTTACAAACATCTGTGCTGAAGGGCACTTTAGCTTTCAGGATATAGTAGTATTGAAAGAGGGATCAGTTGGGAGTAATTTATTAGAAGAACTACAGCTGCCCCTGAAAGTCAGAAGCAGGAGTTAAAAAAACCCCAAACCAGCAAATAACAGCCAAAAGATAATTGCAACAGGTTGCCCTCAAAACCACACTTAATGCAGACTTTAGTGGGAAGAGAAATAGATATTCTTTGAGTACTTCAGCACAATAGCTCTCGAGGCACAAGTTACAAACTGTAAAGAAGATAGAGATATTTCTGTTTTGCTCCTACACTTTTTCCCAGTTCATTAACATTAACAAATTCCTTTTTAGTTATCATTTGGAATTTGGAAACATGGTATTTCCTGTGCTAGCTGAAGCTCAAATACTCATTCTACTCATAGCCTCATTTATAGCTGTGCCACTGCTAAGTTTTGGTTTTGGTATCAATCCTGAAGGCACGGAATAGCCTACTGAAACCTGAACCATGGGACAAACATGTAGAGGTCTGGTAGAGTTGAGGATAGTAAAAACAGCTCTTGAAGTTCCAGCTTGCCACTTAGCAAGGAATGATAACCAACTACCTACCTTTAGCCTTACACCTTTTGACTGGGCTGAAGTGATCCTAATGAGCATAGATGGTTCGCTGCTCACTAGGCAAAGAAAATTCTCATGCTAAAATTTGACCTTACAGTCTGACTACATTGTCAAATATATTTTTGTTTGTTTATTTTTTACTTATTAAGAAGTATCTGTGAGTACAGAATTGGATTTTTTTTAAGTGAAGTTTTTCTTGTAAGGTCTCAGAAGTAGAAATGGTCTATTGTTTAATAAGCCAACTGTGGGCATGTACTCTGTTTATAGGAAAAAAATCAAACACTACTTTGAAGAATGATTGACTTAAGGTCTTGCATCTGTGTTTTCCTCATTTTGTACTTATTCCTATGACCAGGAGCATTCTAAGATGCCCAATTAATCTTAAAACATGTTGAACATGGCCAGTCTTTCATCTGGTCCATGTGGACAGTGGCATTTGTCACTAACTGAATGCTTGATGAGACGCAAATTGCTGTGGGTGACTTGGTTTTATACAGTTAAGACAATTCTTTTGTGAGCAAGTCTGGTATTTTTACACAAGAGTGATGCCCTTAAAACAGTGTTCTTCATCTGTCCTAGAAACAATTCATTGAGTGGTAGCTCTGAGTGAGCCTGTAATTACAGTAGGGATGTCTTAGTTTCTTACCTTAAAAGGAACACGTATTTTGTTATCTCCTACAAGGAAAATGTTTTCATCTGTTTCAGAAGTTTTAGAAGACCGCTTTGTTTTCTTGGTAGGAAAACAGAAGAATTTGCGTGTGTTGTATATTTAGCCCAATGACTTGTCAACAGCCTATCCTTGATGTTTCTAGAGCTGGCTTAATTGATTAAAAAGACAGTCTTTCAAGGATCACTTCAGCAAACCTGGAGTTCTTCAGTGAGTGTGATGTGATTCAAATATAAATGTCATTCAGAGTAATTGGCAGAGTCTCATTAGCAGCCTCCCTTGGGAATAAATGTTTATCTGCAGGCTATATACATATTACACACGTGTGAGTGCACAATATTGACTAATGCTTGCATCTTGTGTGTGCCCTATTCACACTCTGCTTTAAGTGACTAAAAGCTGAATCTGTGCGTATTTGGTTTCTAACAAGTTTACAATGTTAAGACTTTAATCAAGTTATGAATATGCATGAAATGACTTAGCGTGAAAAGCTCTTTCAAGTAGTCATGGGTGGTGATCTTCTGGATATCCTACATATGTTGCCTTCATAAAGGATAGTATAAATTATAGTCTCGTTAACACAGACAGAACATCAATTAGCTGAGGAAATTCCACAATACTGCTTTACTTTTCTCACAGTTTGCATTTACCTTTTCTCTGTTGCATCTGTTGGATTTTTGGAGGATAGACCGAGCTGAGAGTCATGAGCAGTCAGAGATGTGTAGGTAATAGAAGCAAAATGGTATTGAGACGAAGAAATCACCAGTCTGAGACACTAAGATTTATTTTCTCGTGCT